TATGGGATCTACTGGAAGGTCAACTGAGGGCACTGCACTGGAATCTTCATAGTGATTATTTTTGTAAACTCCTCATTTCTATATGAATCTCTTTCTGAAAAATACACTCATTCATTGATTCAGTGTTACAGATATGTCTGTCAAGTTTCCTTTTAAGCAGTTTTCACTAATAAAACACTTGGATGAGGGGAACTGTTTCAGACTCATATACCTTTAGCTTGATAAGAACGTCAAACATCACCCTGACCACCCTTTAATTAGGGAAGGGAACAGAAATCCATTTTACAGAGGGTCAACAGAGGTCCAAGATACTACACCAGTGGCCCAAGGCTGTTAAACCAAGATTAACCTTGACTTGCAAAGTGAATGCTAACCTCTACTTGCTCTCTAGCAGAATGAGTAATGACTATGAGGAGCTGGTAAGGTTTATTTGTCCTCAGGCCTACTGAAACATCTCTGTTTTTTCCACCTATCTGTAAGAGCAACTGTTTTCAGTCATTCCAAGGGGGAGGTATGTGATAAGTACCTCTTTCATTTTGGTGGTAGATTCTACAACAAATAAAGTTCCAGTGGGAAGCCTGAAGGTGGCTCCTTGGAACACAAACAACTGTGCTCTATAGTAAAGCCAGTGGATGTTTTGGAGATCAGTGAGCTGTGAGGACTTGCTCCTTCCCGCCTCACTTGCCATCTGCCTTATGCGAGACATACCGTGAAGTACCGCAGTATTACGGAATGCTTAGGTGTAAGGCTGCTTTCGAAACACAGCTGATAAAACTAACTCTGTACCCATGATTAAATAAATGAAAGTACTCCAGATACTATCATGTTCTTGGTACATTGTGAGTGCTCAAGGAATGATACCATTATTATTAGCACCACACCAGCCTCTGTGGACATTTACATGATGTATTTCTCGAAAGCAGTAAGGGGAAGAAGAAACGTAATCCAGCAAGATAGGTATTACAGCCTTCAACTGTGTGATGCCGTATATCCTTTCTCATTTGTCCTGTTCATTCTATTGGAAAGACACAAGTTACAGACAGGACCAGGAATGACCCGGGGTAGAGTGTGGCACAAGGGCATGAATACCAGGATGCGAGATTATGGGGCCACAGTAAAATCTGTCCACTATGCTACATGTGGAAAGCTTTTGATAAATATAACCAAACTGCAAAATCTATCTCTATTAGCACAAAATCAATGTTCTCTTTTGCCTACCATCTTGACAAATTTGTGTAACAGCAATAATGATAATAATAATCTGGGGCCAGGCAGTGGTGCAGCAATGACACAAGGGAGCCACATGGAAAGATCTTAGGTTCCTGTCTCAGAACGTCCCTGAGCATGGTAGGTGCGTGTACCCAAGTTCCCAGCCAGCTGAAATTGGGGATGCACCACAGCATGAAGACCCTGTTGCCTGTATCTCTGTCTCTCTGTCTCTCTTCCTGACTCTCATGGCAGAAATAAACTTAAAATAAATCAATAAATAATAAAAAAGAACCTGCCAATTTAATAGGAAGAAAATCACATTCAAATCTAAGTATATTTATTTATTAATAAAAGTAATACATATTCCTGGTCATTTGCCTGTTTTTCTCTTGGGACTTGTTCTTCCTGTCCATTGGGTGTGGTAATGATGTTTTTTGTTGTTGTTACACTTGTTTCGAGTATCTCTCTCTCCCCCATTTGCCTGCTGATCTCTGTCTCTCTCCAGCAAGGGCTCGTGCCCTAAGGCTAAAATGTCTACAACAAAAAAGTAGCAGAGAGGTCCTGCAATTAACCATGTGTGGAAGACCTTCCACTGGTTCCTTTCTTTGCTCAGCTGGTGGAATCTGTTAATTGTTCCACAAAGAACTTTCTCCCCTTCTGTCTCTCTCTCTCTTTTTTTTTTTTTTTTTTGGAGAAGTTTTTGCTATAGGGTTCATGAGCTTGCCAGAATGACAGAGAGAGACAGAGACAGAAAGCAAGAAATCACCCCCCCAGGGCAGATAGCCATGCCACAACCCCTTCTCCTCCAGTCTCCTTTCGGGATCTTGGGCATGCACGCACAGGCGCCTGGCGTGCATTTATATCACCGAGTCTGGGACTCTATCTGTGTTCGACTATGTGGGAGCCCAGCGACATAGCCATTATGCTAACTGCTGGTCCCATCCCCTTTTGTCTCTTAATAATAAAACCTCTCAGGTTGTAGCAGGGCTTGTAAACATCCATTTACAGTCTACTTCCCCACCACCTTGGCAACCTGTCAAGCCATATGACTAAGATCAGGCCAATGGGAAATTAGTGAAAGCAATGCATACAGTTTCTTGGTCATATACTTAAAAAGGCTTTCTCCACTTTTTCCCTTTTCTTTCGTTCTGGAACGTACATGTGCAGGAGATTCAGATTTGGCTATGAAGGCAAACACCACACTATAGGCCGTGGTTGGTGGTTGTTTCTCTAGGTGTTGACCTCAAAGCATCAGCATCAACATCACAGGAGAACTTGTTACAAATGCAAATTCTTGGGCTCTCCTTCAGACTTACAGAATCAGAAATTCTGGGGTGGACTTAGAAAGTCCACCAAGTGATTCTGATACTTTAAAGCAGAGACTCACAAATTATAGGCCATAGCCCCAAACGCCTGACCAGTCTGATTTTACACAGCTCATGAGCTAAGAATAATTTTCAGATTTTTAAAGCATTGTAACAACAAAAATAACAAAACCAAAGAAGAATGTGCAGTTGAAAGTATATGGTCTGCAAAGACCAAGAATTTACTTGATGATCCTTTCTAGTAAGTTTGTCAAGCTGGGCATTAAAGTTTGAGAACTACTGCTGTAGAGGCTAGTTTAATGAGATAGAAGGAATTTAGATCCCTGAATAACTTTGTGGAGCAGAGCTTCTCTGTCAGTTTGGTCTGCTCATTCCAGGATTGCTAAGCAAGAGAAAAGTACTAACCTCTATGGGCTTCTATATGTAGGTCTCCTTGTTGAGCAGCTGAGCCCACATCATAACCAATGTCAGAGGTAAGAAGGAGCTAAATACCACTTCTCTTTCCATACCTCACTGTTGGCCTGTGGTTGGCTTTGAGTTTCCAACATTGCATTTTCATTTCATTGCATTTCATTGCATTTTCCTGGGCACTCTCTTTAAAGATACACGTATTGGAGTCATCTAATAGTTTTTCACATATTTTGAGTCCCAAAAGCTTCAGAAATATTCACTGGCACTGCAAGATAAAGTTCCATTTATCTAACTGACCACATTTAAATGCTTTCCACCAAAACTAAATACATTTGTTCAGTAATCTCACACTTACACCACCTTATTCTGAAATATCGAATCAGACTGATTGGAGTACCTGCACTGAACAAACCGTCATGACCCCTCTTACTCTGGCTGATGCAAACAGATTCATCCTTGTTTGGAAAGGTACATTAAGTGACATTAGCTCTTAATAGATAGGATTTAATGGTGGCGTCTGCAGCTGTTGGCTGAGGTTTCTTTTTAAGAGAGCAGTTATGATTTGGGCCAGAGGCCCAAGACTACTGCAATTAGGGAGGTGATTAAAAGGTTTCAATGACCTTGTAAGGCATGGGGTCTGAATTCCTAGCTATCTGTGCTCCCAAAGCCCTGCAAATCATTTGGATCAGGAGATGATGCAATGGAAACTCAGCTTCAGGAAGCATAGCAGAGAGAAGTAGGAGAAAAGGTGGATCTGAACTTTGTTAGTTGGCAAATACAGTTCTCTTCCGTCTCCCGGGAAATGGATAAACCAAACAGCAAGCATGGTGGTAAAGGCTGGTTTCCAGCAGGAGCAAGGAGCCGCAGGTAGGACACATACATAAGCAAAGCTCAGTTTTGGGGTATCTGGTGGGTGGGTGTGCCGGCTGGAAGAAGGGGGTTGGGGTTGCAGGGGGGGGGTGCAATGGCTTCAGCGCACACCCTAAGTGTCGTTGTGACCACGGGCTCGCTCGTGTCATTTTGTGTGCAGTAATGAAGCCTGACGAGAGGTCTCCTGCTTGCAGATAGCCGGCTGTTGTCCTAAAAATGCAAACCATCGCCTCGGGCCATGGAATCGGGAACAGGCAGAGGACAGAGGCTCCGGCTGGGCGCCCCGCTGCTCCCTTCCCTTCAGCACTCGCGACTTGGCTGCCGAAAGCTGGTCTTTACCCTTGTACTTAAGGACACAGAAGAAAGGGTTTTTTGTTGTTGTTGTTAAGATGTCCCAGAGGCTGAGGGTTTAAATCCTGACTTTTTGCTGAGCAGATATTAAAGCGAGGGGAGGAGGGAGGAATGCCTACCGCCGATCCTCAGGCCTCTTGTGTTTTCTCATGCAAAATAAACCTCTTGAACTTGAAAGCTTCATTTCCGCCCTCTCCCCCAGTGCCTCCTCCCCCACCTTGGTTCCCCATCCCCTTCCTTCGCTCCTCAGGGCAGGCGAGTCCGTCGCAGCCGCCCTGGCAAGGCTTTCGTAACAATGGCTCATTAATATTCCATGGGCTGGCGGTGCCAAGAGAGTGCGCGGTCCACGCCCGGGACCCGGGACCTGGGACCCGCCCCGCAGGCCCTCCCCGGCTCCAGGAGGCGAGGAGCCGGAGGAGCGAACCCCTCCCGGGGCGCCTGCAGCGAAAGGCTGCCCTGACAGCCCGAGAGCGGAGAAAACCAGGCCTGGCCACTCCATTTCCGCCTGGGCCTGAGTTGACTGTGCACAAGGAGTTGTCCCTTTCTTCCGTGTTTGTTTGTTGTTCGGGATTTGTTTTGAAATGCGCCCTCCTGCTTCCCCCGCAGCCTGCTGGTCCTGAGGCTGCAGAGCCGTCCCGGGTCTCCGGGCCACCTCTGAGGTGTAACCTTGAGCCCATTCAGTCTGAGGGCCTTTGTTACCCGCTTTTCAGAAACCCTCCTCCCTCCTGCCAGTCTCCTTGGAGGCAAACCCCTGAAGTGAGAAAAAAAAAATGCACTTTTCCTTGTGTTTTTAGGCATCTATTATTTCTGTGGAATTTTTGACAGACAACAAAGAACTTTAAAAAAAACTGTCGATTTTCTGCTGTCAAGGAAACAAGCTGTTCTCCCATTCGAGGCTCCCTTGGTAAGCCTGGTGAAAACTTTATTAAGAGTTGACGAATGCATTTAGTCTCTCACAGGACTCACCTGGTAATTTCTAGAACCACCACGTGCCACCACTGGAGAGCTTGATAAAGCCGTGATTGTGAATCCTGGGTCTGGGGATGTCCTTTTTCTGAAAGGCTGGGTGACGGGAGGTGGCTTCAACAGGATCTCTGGAGTAAGAACAACACCAACACCGCAACGGAAGCGAAAAGTGATCTTGTTTCTTCACTCATTTCAAGGTTTATGGCTGAGACCTCCATCATAAATAACAAGAAAAACGCTAACAGGGACCAGCAGGTGGCATGGTGATTAAGGCTCTGGACTCCCACATCATCCACCAGGGTTTGAATCTCCACTCGGGACCAATGGCTTGAAACTCACATTGGGTGTGTGTGTCTGTGTGTCCAAAATCTCAGGAGAGTGGAGAAGGGATTACAGGGTGGTCTTCACCCTGGAGTAGGAATAATTTCTCACTTTCCTTCTCGCTGTCTCTCTTTGATGAGCGCATTATGAAAACCTTAAAAAAGAAAAAGAGCGTAACAAATTTATTTAATCACAGTTTTATGTGATATGGGAGTCTTTAGAATTGAAGACCCAGAGACTCAGGGAAAACTATGTGTATGTTTAGGTTCAATGAAGAATGGACAACTGTGTAGAAATGTGATTGGACAAAAGGGGCAGGATCTAATGGTAATAAAATGGAATTTAGCAAAACAAGTGTACTCTGAGTCTACTTGGCCTTTCTATGAGGCATTCCGCGCCCCCAGCTGCCCCTACCGCTGGGTATGTATGGGGCAGGACCTTTCTGGCATGAAAGTCTATAGCCTGCTATCAGGGAGGTAGGTCGGAAAGTGACTTCTCTAGGTTTTATGACTTGCTTTGGGGGAGTTGTGGTTTCTGTGACCTGCCTTGGTAAGAATATAGGAAGGAGAAAAAAGGGGGGCAGAAGAAAGTCAGAGAGAACTTTTTGCCTCAGGCCTACCAGCCTTCCTCAGTTTGAGGCACTCAGCATGCAAAAATGTCATACTTTGGGGTATTGTATTCTAAGTCTAGACACCTTATACCTATATAGCACTTTATATTTAATAAACTCTTGTGCACAAACCACCAAGCTTGTCCCTTCAGTTAACTTTTATTTATTTATTTATTTTTGAGAGAGGGATGCCGCAATCCCTTCTCCTCCATTCTCCTCTCAGGATCTTGGGCATGCACACACATGTACCCAGCATGAGTTTAAGCCACCAGGTCCAGGACTTTAACCACAGTCGACTACATGAGAGTCCAGCAACATAGCCATTACGCTAACTGCTGGTCTCCCCTTCAGTCAACTTATGACAGGGAGGCTAACAGATCTGTGGGCCAGAGCAGGGGGCAGGGAAAGAATGGGAAGCTAAAGAGGAGAA